TGGTCCTCAAGCCCTCCTAGCCTTTGCTTATCTCCTGTAGCCTGATTTAGTATTTATGTCTCCCTTGTGCCCACTGGGAAATCGCTTACTGATGTGCACCTAAGATAGCGTTTTAGTCTGCACTCATGTGGCCTCGCCTGGAGACAGAGATTATGGGACTTCTAGCAGATTTCTCAGCCTCATCAGCGGATTTATAATTGGTGTTGTGCCTGTGACTGAATTATGATAGCATCCGGAGGAGATGTAAGTTCAGGGGTAAGTGCAAACGAAGTATTTCAAATCATATCCCCCTGTCCCTCAGTACTGGAGACTGAACGCAGGGCCTTCGTACTGAGCTACATCCCCAGCCCTTTTTATTTTGAGACAGGGTCTTGCTAAGTTACTGAATTGCCCAGACTGGCCTCGAGCTTACGATCCTCTCTCTCCTATCTCCTGGAGTGCTGGGATCACGGGTGTGTGCCGCCACAGCCAGCTTTGTAGCTTGGCTTCTTTGTGGCTCTATCTACTTTGTTTGCTTGCTTGTTTAATGACTTGGTTCAGATGCTGGACCACTGTGTATCCCTCAAAGCACACATCTGAATGTACCATGTAGATGACTTTTAGGATCATTTTTGGGGAATAAATTGCCTGGTATTACTAAGTAATATCTCATTTAAAATGTATTGATTTGAATCAGTGGCAAAATACACTCAGCAACTTCATACTTCCCTCCACTATCCCTCAATTTCAGTAAGTGTCTGCTTTTGTGGCCAGTGGTAATGACTTCTCCAAGCACAGTCCTGTCACCCCATCTTATTTCCAGGAGCCCTCGGCAAGACAAAGCAGCTGGAGGAGGGCGAGGACTGGAATTTGGGAAAGGAGAGAGCCTTCTGGCTTTTCCTTTAAGCAACCGATGTCCATAGGTGTGTCCCTGAACCTTGCTGAGCCTCAGTTTCCCCTGCCAGTGTCCAGGTAACCCCACTAAGCTCTTCAAACCCTGCTGTGCAGGGAGTTGCCTGCTGCTTATCCATTTTGGAAAAGTTTGAAGCTATTCATGCAGTCAGGGACGGTGTGTCGGAAAGGAGACATTCTGTGAGTCAGTTGGTTCATGCTGACATCGTGAGCCCTGGGTCCTGGAGAAGCCCAGAAGCTTAATGCATTTGCACGGAGTGTGGATCCTCCTTTCCAGGGCAGGCTTCTAGTAACCAATCCTAAAGGAGCAAAGTCAGAGTTGTCCTCATCTGTGGTGACACCTCAGGGCCTGGGATCTGACAGGAGTCAGATGAAATGGCTCTTTGCAGGGTACCAGGCGAGGACAGCCTGACACATGGCACTTCATCATGACCGGGAGCTAAGGGCCCCTGGTCCAGGGTGACATTTAGGGAAGGGCCTGTTCCTGCCACCAGGGGCAGGGTCCCCCTATGACCCTGTGTGTGCTTTTTATAATAGTCTATTTTCTGTGGCTCTACAAAACACTGGAGGTTAGCAATGCATAAAGGGGCTTATTTAGCTCACAGTTCGGGCGATTGGGGGTCTCTTCTTTCTGTTCAGCCCCTTGGCCATGTCACATGGTAGATGCATCCTCAGGGGATCACACAGAAGAGGGAGAGTTCACAGGGCCAGAGAGGCTTGAGGGACCAGTCTTGCTCTCCTATTACAACCTCTCTCAAGTGGGAACCAACCAGGGTCCTGTGGGAACTACATTAATCCCTTCTGAAGGCAGCACCAAAGTGACCTAATCTCCATCCATTGGGCCCCACCTCTTAATGATGCCTGCACTTTCACAGTGCTGCACTGAGGACAAATCCTCCCACACCCGAGCGCTTGACGGACATCACATTCAAACCATAGCACATTTTATCAGGTGTGGCCTGGGGCTGCCTCAGAGCTCTTTCTCTTTAGAGCAGAGATTGTTCATCAGGCTCTTTGGGCAGAATCTAGTTCAAGGTGACATTGTCTTTGACTCACATCATTTTAAAAAATTAGATTAGTTACCGACACGTAAGATCAGATTTCACAGCTTCTTCTAGAATACCCAAAAGTCCATTAAGACGTGGTGCATGTCCCCTGCTGGCTGCAAATGGCAGGATCTGGGAGCTCCAGTTTGCCACTACCCTCTTCTGGGGCTTTTCTCCCCTTGTTTTCAATCTGCAGGCCTCACAGGGGTCCCCGCTTCTCTGTTCTGACATGCTGTGTTGTGGTGGCAGATTGAACTTTCCACAATCATGTTTTCCTTAGGGGGCTGCCTCATCCGAGTGCTCGAGAACTGTTCCCCATCTTCTAAAAGTATCATAAGGACAAAGGACACATGCCAGATCATGATAATAGGCTTTAATTTTTAAAAAATCATAATACAGCGAAAGCACCCTTGTCCTATACAATGAACACATAAAACACTGCACGCCAAATATTGAGATTCTATTTGTAAAGAGCTAGGAATGGTATCTGGCACATAGCAAGTACTCTATGCATGTGAAAGTAGATTTTATAATATGGCAACAAGCCCTTGAAATGTGTGGCTCAGTTCATCTCCCCATCACACTTTCCTGTCTTTAAAACCAAGGAGGGAGGAAGGAGGAAGAGGTCAGAGATTTGCACCTAGGGGAGGTGAAAGTGACACCTGGTCTCTCAAGGGCAGGAGGACTAAAACTCCCTGATCTCCTCGCCTTAAAAGGCACAGGCATCCGGGTGGGGGAAGTGACTGGTGATAAGGACCTTCGGTGTGTCTGGAGTATCAAGGACACTGTGCTGCTGTGGATCACATTGCGAGTCACAAGTGCTCTGGCTCCCTCTCCAAACTCCTTCCCTTCAGTCTGGACAACATGTGTCTGCCTGCAGCAAGGTCCCCCTCTCTCGGGGCCATGAGGCGGCAGCAGCCATCGCCGGGCTCCATGGCCCATGATCCCCTGAGACAGTAGGTGAAATACTGTGACCGTATGCATTGAGCTTTCACTGGATTTTCAAAGGACTTGGGGACCCTCAAAATCACACATCTTGAGGACTGCAGTAAATCAGAAATGTCTCCAAGAACAGAGGACTCACTGATTATTAAATGAAAGAAGGACTAGATGAGAAGTCTGACGTCATGGTGTGGGCAGGGCCTCACTTCCTCCAAGACCTGTAGGGGAGACTCCGAGGTTCTGTGGGTGGCCATCAAGTCTTGGTGGCCCTCAGCTTCAAGCTCCAACCTCTGCCTCTGTCATCCTGAGCCACTGTCCTTGTGTCTGTGTCCAAATTCCTCTTTTCTTATAAGGACATCAGTCTTACGGGATTTGGGCCCACTCCAATCACCTCATCTTAACATGATCATCCATGAAGACCCCATTTCCAAATAAAGTCACATTCATAGGTACCAGGGATTAGGACTTCAATATATCTTTTGGGGAGCACAATTCAACCCATCAAATAGCTACTTCACCTCAATAGGCCTTGCTACTCCAGTCCTGTGTGTTGTCATTGCTCAAACCTAATCCTCCCCATGGCTCTTGGGGGGGGGGAGCACTTCTCTCCCTCTGATGGTAACTGAGCACCTTCCCCTGGGTATATACCCTAAGGGGAACATTTTTTCCTCCTCCATTCAGTCCTGTGGGAAACAAGTCCCTTGTAGATTGAGATGCATTAGTGGGAAGTATGTGTGTGTTGGGAGGAATATGTGAAGAGTAAGTGGGTGTGAAGGAGGAGGAGTGGGAGACAGGAGGACAGAAGGAGGATAGAGCTGCTGTTATAAGCACAGAAGTGGCAAAGACAAAAGTGGTACTGTGCTTGGGACAAATATGGGCATGCCATGACTTTGAGTACAATTATGTAAGGCGTGTGTATCAGAGGGGATTGGTTTTTTTTGGTACCATGTATCGAACTCGGGACCTTGTGCTTTCAAGGCAGGTGCTGGAACCATTGAGCTAAATCCTCAGCCCTAGAGAGGATATTAATTCTGCTTCTTTAGCAGTGGGTTCAAGAAGAGGGGTGTTAAATTTTCCTTCACATGAACTTGACCAGGTGGGGAGTCCAAGAAGGTGTGGAGCTCCTGCTCCATGGCTTTGCCCAGGATCCAGCCTCTGCAACTTGAAAATAGGCTGGTTTTTTCCCAAGTAGAGCTGCTCAACACCTGTCAAGTCCCAGACACTATGAAGGGGACAAGGAAAGCACAGGGCACATCATTTCCCTTCCAAGGATGACTTGGAGATTGCACTCATCACTCCCACTTCTACTGGTCAGAACATAGTTATGGCATCTTTCTAGCTGCAATGGAGTATAGGAAATGCAATAT